CACACACACACACACACACACACACACACAAATAAATAAAATTAAAAAAAAAAAAAAAAGAACAAGCTTAGCAAACGACAGAGACCGCGGTTCAATCCCCCAGCACCACATGCCAGCCAGCCCAGCCCCCTGGTGGGCTCAGCTGGCCACACACACAAAATAAATAAATAAATAAACATTTTTTTTTAAAAAAAAGCACACTTCAGGGCAACTATGATAATTAACATTTGAACTTTTAGATCTGAATTTTAGCCATTAACCTCGAACAAAGTGTATGGGGTTTTTGTTTTTTGTACTGGGTATCAAACTCAGACCTTACAACTGCCAGGTAGGGCAGCTGAGCTATCTCCCCGACCTTCTGATAAGGTTACGAAGGAAAAGCAACGCTAGCACATTCACTTCTGAAGACGAAGAAGCCTAAGTGTCCCTAAAAACCATGCAGCATCAACACAGATCTATACAGAGCTCTACTTATACTTCATTTGGCTATAAGAAATGAACACTGAAAACAGATTAGGGCCCGCAAGACAGCTCAGCGGACTAAGCGCCTGCCTAGGCAATCAGAGGGAACATGCTGCGCCGACTGGGCGTAGTGGTGCACACCTGTAATTCCAGTGCTGGGGAGGCTGAAAACTGGGTCACTACAAGTCCAGGCTGCACAGTGAGACCCTTTACCAAATATATTAAAAATAAGCAAACAAACAAGGAAAAACACTGTGAAAGTCTGAATTGATTACAGCAAGGAGTCCTGTGTTAGTTGGTAAAGTAGATGGCAAGGTACATCATGAGATGTAACAAGCAGGCATGTGCAGTGGCACCATCACAGCTCTGTGCATCTGCCGCTCACCTGGTGAGGGCTTCATCTCAATCTTTCATATGCAAATAAAACTATTTTGTTAAAAAAAAAATCTAACAAATGCTGTAAATGAAAATGTCCAGGGCCAGGGAGATGGCTCACTAGAATAAGTGCTTCCCTGGCAAGCACAAGGGCCTGAGTTCAATCCCTGGTTCCGCCAAAAAAAAGAAAAAGAAAAAGAAAAAAAAAAAAAAGACAATGTCCAGATTCTTTCTAGATAGCCCCAATTTTGAAACGTTCTCTTCTTTGCAGTTTCATAGCTACTGCTTGCACTTTTTCATCCAGCCTATTCCAAGAAACCTCTTATCTTTGTGCTTCTAACTTTTACCTTTTCATTCTGCATATTATAGCCACTGACTACTCTAAAATTTAAGCTTAACCTTATTGTTCCTGGTTTAAAATCCCTTGATGACTATGGCAAATTGCAAAATCCTTAACTCTACCCTGACCTCCTGTTTATGCCTCCAGTCTCATTCCTTCTTATAGCCTACTTTCTTTGCCTTTTACTCTAAAACCCTATGCTCTAGCTATTCAGGACAACAAATAATAAAGGATTTCAGAGGAGTACCTGGGACATGAACCATTACAAATTAATGATGTTTCTGGAGTTTTGTTATACTAAGTCTAAAATACCACAATGATTGAAAACATCTTGCTCTCACTTCAATATCTTCTAGTTCTCTTCTGAACTGTAGTTTATGATCCATTAGAGAGTTAAGAAATCATTTCTAGTGAGTTGTGACCATCTTCTGAAACGAAGTGACAATGCATATGGGAACATGGTGTAAAGACCTTAGCACAGTGAGGAATAGCTGGGGAAAGGGGTGAACACTGAGGGTCACATCAAGAAAGCTAGTTCTGGAGGAGATAGGCTGAGCTGTGAACACAGGACTTCATGGAATAACAAGGTGTCCTGACTCTCTCCCAAGGAGCAAGTGTGGGGCAGGACATCCAGTGACACAGGGGGTGTCTGTGGGTCTCCTGGGTTTTAACCTGTTTTCCCTTCCCCAGTTCCTCCAGCAACTCCATCCTGTGGTCTCCTGGACGTGCCCCGGGGGCTCAGTACCAGTGGGAGTGGCTGCCCCATTGTTTCAGGTTGTCTTTACACCAATTTTAGGTGAGGAGTTTCTGAAAACACTGAATCTTTGGCTGGAGAAGTGGGGGGCAGAGAGTGGTGCTACAGGCCTGGGATGGAAGGGGGTGGTAGTGCTGGGGGAGGGAAGATGGCCTACCAGGAGCAGGCACGAGGACAGGTGCTTTCAAGTATCACAGACTGTTACTAAAGAGGCTGCCTGTGTTCAAATAGTACAGCATACTGCACATACTTAGCTATAATGCCATAGTGTGGTTAAGTAGTATTTATAAAGCACTTAGAACAGTATATGGCACCCAGTAATGTTGTCATTTTTCAGTACTGGGATTAAACTTGTGGTGTTCCTTTGCACTGGGCTAGATCCCCAGTCCTTTATTTTGGGACAGGGTCTAGTTAAGTCATTAAATTGCCCAAAATTTGTCTTGAACTTTCAGTCCCCCAGTCTGTGCTGGGAACATAGGTGTGTGCCATCAGGCCTGGTGATTTGTTTTACATACATTATACTATTAAAATATAGGTTCCAGGGTAAACATACCTTTTGTGGGTTGCAGTCTTACAAAGATGCAGTTTTGTTCCTTCTTTCTAGTATATAAATTAAAGAATGAAAAATATATTGGTTATTTGCATAACTGCAGCTCGACACTATTAAAAAAATGTTAGCAAACATTACCTAGAATTGTTATAGCCACATATTCTCCTCTTAAACCTTTATTTTTTTGGTACCAGGAATTAAACTCAGGTCCTTGTGCTTGCCAGGCAGGTACTTCGGTCACTCAACTATATCCCTGGCCCCATATATTTTTTTTACCCACCTTTTTATATGAATATGAAACCACCAAACTATCATTTATAGCTCTTAACTCAACATTTGTGATGCATTATAGTAAAGTGTTGGTTAGTGAAACGACATGATTTTTTCATTTAAGACAGATATACAGTTCAGGCTGGCCTTGAACTCTGCATAGCCCAACCCAACCTTGGACTTGCAGTGATCCTTCCTCTTCAGTCTCCTTAGTGCTGGATTGGAGTCACGTGCCACTTTTAAAAAGCACGACTTTTAAAAAAACTGATCACTAAAAATTTTTGAAACAATTTCACTATTTGGGTGCGTCTGGTCGGGGTCTGGGAGTTTGCACCACTGAGGGTTCCGCTGACTCCAAGCTCTACAACAGCTGCTCACCTACCCTCCTGCCAATCCGCCTCCTGAAAACCCAGGATGACACGCGCTCTGAAGCACCACAGCTTCCAGCTTCACACCAAGACACACAGCCTTGTCCACGATGTGTAACCAGTCCTTTCAATTGACTCCTTCACTGCAAGGAGGTCAATGGCTTATGGCTATATTTCTGGAGCTTTTCAAAGGAGGCAAAAATATTTGTTGAATAATTAAAAAACAAGTCTTTATTTCAGATCCTATTTTTAGCATGTGATGCATCTACCAGTTGAATCTAATGAAAGGGGCAAGATATCCATATTACCCTCCACCACCAGGACACTTGGACTTTAGCCAAGAGCTGAGCTCCTCCCTTTCCCTTTTAACCTTCCCGGTTCTGGGCTATGGGGGATGGGGGGGGGGTGTTTAACTAAGAATCTTGCTCAGGATCTTGTGCTTGCCAAGCAGACCTTTGTCCCCCACTGAGCTATAGCCCCAACCTGGGCTTTCTAAGAGCAACAGAATTCAAGGGCCAAGTCCCACTGGATGAGCCAAGAAAGATATTCAAAAGATCCAAAGAAGCTGGAAGTTCTTCAGAGCTTTAAAGTATCTTAACAGGGACAGACATATCTCCTGTACTGGTGATCAGGGCAGCTTAAAACCTTAGGGATTCCTGTCATGTTCTGTCATATATATATGGATGCACGGATCTCAACACTCTTGGGAGTACACAGCAAAAAAAAGTTTCAACATCATTTCACCAAAGTTGTTCTGGCCAACCTAATAGCCACTAGTTACATGTGGTTATTTAAATTTAATTAAGGGGGCTGGGGAGACAGCTCAGTGGAGCAAGCACAGATCCTGAGTTGGATTCCTAGTACCACAAAAGAAAAAAAAAATTACAAAATAAAATTTGGGGCCAGCGAGATAGCTCAGTAGAATAAGC